ACATTTTCTTCATCTTTCTATATTGTAATAAAAACGTAAGACGTTATTGTCTTGCCTAGCAAGAAATGCGCAAAGTAACTTCTTAAATATTTAGTGGGCTATTCTTATGATCATTAAATTCCTTTCTGGATCTTTTCTGGTGTTCTCTGAGAACGTTGTATGCCGCATAGACAGAAAAAGGAATTTTACTTCAAAATAATATATATAACGATTCCTGCAGAATGACTATTATTGAATTCTTCCATGAAAAGAAATTAAATGAAACATTAAGCAATTGAAAAGGAATTATACAATGATCTGTAGTTTTCACTACTGCTCAGTGTATAGTTTCCATTGAATCTCAAGTCTGTAACTGTATAGAAACCATTGGCTATATTAGTTTTTAAAAAAATATTTTTATTTTACTAATACGTTCATTCAGTATTTTTATAAAATTATGCTAGCGGGACTCAATAAATTCATTTAATATATATTTAGGTTGGCAGTATAATAAATGTACGAAATTTACAAAAATATTGCAGTATTTATTTAAGGAAAAGTTTCTGAACTCATTAATTTCAATTATATGCAAAATTAAAATAGCAGTCCTTGGAAATAACAAATATACCAGATATAACTGACTGTTCTTTGGTTTAATTTATGATTGAAAAATTTCCCTGACCAAACATGAAGGCTAGTCATCAAATTAAATATGTAAACAGAAAGTTGGTGCATTTACTACAAAAATGAGGAAGTACCTAAGAATATTAAAATAATTTAATTCACATCCGTCATTAATTATAAAACAAACAAAATAAGTTCAAGTAGGATATACACACCAAAATCATTGAAAAAAAATTGTTTATGCATTTAAAAAATATCTGGAAAAACTGTTTTTAAAAAAAATATAATCGAACCTTGCTATAACGAATCTGGTTTATAAAGAACTCCTGCACATAATGAACAAACATTTTGGTCAAATCCAGTTTTCTATACACTTAATGCTATTTTATATGGCTACAGCAAACCTCCAAATGAATAAAAACTAAATAAAACGAATTTCATGGATACTTTTGTACTTGAGCTTTTTGCATTTTCCAATTACAAAAATGAATCAAATAATACAAATATTCATGTTCTGGCATTTTTAAATTTAAAAAAAGAATTTTTGTAAAAATTACAAAATCAAACTTTTTATATGTTCCCCTGATTCTTAGATTTAGGAAAATTTTATATTCTTTAAGAAAAATAAAATTAAAAAAAAAAAAAAAAAAAAAAAAAAAAATGCAATTTCCCTGTGACAGAATTGCAGAAGATATTTCCTTTTAAAGTTAGAGGTCATGTTTAGGCACCATACACAAATTGTTCGCATCTGTTATAACTAAAAGTGAAATATTAGTTTTGAAAAAGCTTTTTGATCATTTCTAAGCAGACTGTCAAAAAAAGTACTGATCAGATATATATATATATGTATTTGTAAATTAAAATATCTTATTTAATTTACAGAATTTATATTTTAGAAAATACTACATGCTTCCACATTTTCACATAACAAAGTTGTAACATTATTTGCATGAATTAAATATTTTAAACAATTCTAGTTTAACGAATTTTTGTATGATTATTAGATAAAGAATCTAAAGTAATAAAACTTCAAACATAATATTAATAACATATTTTTAGTATTTGAAAACTTATAAATTACTTGCATGAAAATTGTTCTGGCATACGAATTGAAATAAAATTATAAATTAAAGAATGTTACATACCAGTAAATCTTAAAATAATATCACTGAATGGTATTTAAGGAGAAAAAAATTACCTCAAATAATTCTAATTAATTTATCAACTTACCCCTCAAAGCACATTTGAAATGACATCAAATATTTCAAATTCTGAAATTAAATATCTTGGTTAATTTTCACTCAGATGTTAAAGTTTCAAAATTTATGTGTTCTAATTTTTATAAAATTTTCCTAAATATAAATAAGGTCTAAAGGACTATAAAAATTACTACTAATTTTTATAAAATTGATTTTTTTTAAAATTTAAATTAGCAAAACATAATATTTACATCATTTAACACATTTTTAGAATTATTTATCAAGTTTATTACTACAACTAATGCTTACAAAATTAAAGGCCAGGTAGTGACTGATATATACATATACAACTACACTGGTAAAATAAATTAACAGAATTTGCATATTTTATCGAATTGCATGAAAAGAACTGAACTAAAGTAAAAACCACTGCTTCTAGATAAAACTGCAAATCTTGTATTGCAAATATGCAAATGTACACGTGTGTGTAGGCAGAGTCAGCAGAAAAACAGGCTTTATAAGCACGTGGAGGACAAGACGAATTGAATTCGCTAGCACCCCTTGCCTAGTTTCTTGGTCTTATCTTGCAGCAAATGGTTAAATTCACATCGGAACAGAAAAAAATTAGTAACCACCAACGTTTAGATGATGGAATGAGGTGGCGAATTGTGTGGAGGTAAGAGGCAAGCCAATCGCAAGTCCAGATATGCAGAGAGTTTAAATTAACGCCCAGCGTTGTGTGTAACCTATGGAAACAGTTCCAGAATACTGGATCCACCCAGAGAAAGCCTGGGCAAGGTTGTCCAAGAGCCACGGTGGCCAGAGAAGATCGCTATTTGTCCATTTTAGCAAGGCGTAGCAGAGGGGCTACGGCTTCTCAGCTCTCTCGGGACCTGTATACAGCCACAATAACCCTGTAACAAGGGTGACTGTTTCCAAAAGACTGAATGATAGAGGGTTGATTGCCAGAAGACCGGCTGTTTGCGTCATGCTCACGTCTACGGACAGGAGAGTCCGATTAGCATGGTGTAGGCAGTATAGTGATTGGAGTGCGGAGTAATGGGTGGCCGTTCTGTTCACCGTCGAGTCTTGTTTTAGCTTAAACACCGATTCTTGCCATACTCTCATATGGAGAGAGCCAGGGACCCGCTACCTACCCTCCAATGTCCACGAAATCAACAATTATGGTGGTGGCTATGTAATGGTCTGGGCAGGCATCATGTTGGATGGCCGCACAACTCTCCACATCTTTGACAGAGGCTCTGTGACTGGTGTGAGGTATAGGGATGAGGTCTTGGAGCCCTATGTTCTCCTTTTCCAGGGTGCAGTGGAACCTGAGTTCATCTTATAGGACGATAATGTGAGGCCACATAGAGCTCTTCTGGTCAACAAATTTCTCGAGAGTGAGGATATTCGTCGGATGGATTGGCCAGCCAAGTCTCCAGACCTCAACCCTATAGAGCATGTCTGGCAGGCTCTGGGGAGGGCAAATGCAACTCGCAAACCCCCTCCGAGAACCATCCAGGATCTGAAAACAGCGTTGCTGAATGAATGGGACCAATTGCCGCAGGCACTGATAAACTGCCTTATTTTCAGCATGACATCACGCTGTGAGGCCTGTATGGCTGTAGACCATATCCCCTATTAACCCATTTCTTTTGTGTCTTCTGCAACCACTGTTTCAGACATTCAGACTTCCATGAGTATTACACACGAACATGTATGTCTATTATAACTGTTGAATGTTTATTTTGTTTGTATTATATCAACCTATGTTCACACCAGATTTTATTAAAATTGTCCAGTAGTTCTGGAGATCATAGATCAAATACAAAAATTCTCTTAATTTATTTCACCACTGTAGAAGCCAATAAAAAATAAAACTAGAGTTAAATAACTTGCTGGGAGTTGCAGTAAATATAATACTTTATTTTACTTTTGGTTTTCACGCTAGAGCAGCAGTTTCTAACTGCAGTACCCTTGGGAGTATGCGATGACTTAGTAGGGGGTATGAAAAAGAAATTAACAGCAATGGCAGAAAACAGCAAAGCATTATAATGAATACCGATTAAAGAAAAAAAAAATGTCATATATTTTAGTCACTGAATAAATGGAAAAATTACCAGGAATCTCAGTGTGACCATCACTGACCATAATGTGTATGAAAGCGATGCAGTTAGTTATAATTAATCCTGCACACATCACATATATTGCTAGATCCCTTACTCATCATATACACCATTTCTCACTTTGTCCTAGTGAACTGTATAAAATGACTGTCAGCTGACATTTTTATTACTAAGCGAATAATCACATGAGTTATAGATTTAACATTGTACTGTTATTAATAGTAAAATTAATCAAGTTAACAATCATTAATTGAATTATTTTAAGAATTCTTAAGACTTTTTATATAAGCCAGGATCTCGTCAATAGTAAATAAATTCATGAATTTATTCATTTTTTTTTTTTTTTCCATTTTCATCTTAGAAAAACTAATGTTCAACACAATCACAGAGCATTAATAATATTATGCTTTGGTTTAAAACATGTATTATCCTTTTATTTATTTGAAATAAATAATGCAATAACCAATCTTTGTTAATTATATATTTCTGGCCTTACTAAGTACATATTAATTTTATTTTCTTAATAATGTAGTAGTAAGATACACTGCAGAGATACTGTAACAGCAAGAGAGAGGCGGTCCTAGTTATGGAAAAGGAGGTTATGGATACTCTATATTTGAAAGTCTTATTAAAAGAACTAGCAAAGAGAAAAAGTTGATAACTGCTGGTCTACATTATAAGTACAGTTCTTGCAGTGTCGAAAGACTGTGAATTTATTCATAGTTTTGTTTTTATTACCATTATTATTATATAAAAACAAAGAAATACATACATAAGTATTAATTGCTTATTTGCAAGTTTGAGTCCTAAGAAATTTTAATTTAAATTTTATTCACTGAAATAACTTTCTCAGTAGATTGCAATATGGTACTCAAACACATATTCTGAATCTTTCTGTACTTGGCTATGTTTAAAATGACTTTTTATCCCAGATTTTTAAGAACTAATGGAATATCTGTAGTTCTAATTATAATACTGGTTATGCTCCTTAGCCTAGAGCTGTTGATATAAAAATGTATTTTGCTAGTAAATAATTCAGTCTGTAAATAAATAAATAAACATTTCTCACTTAAGTTTCTCACATGCATTTATTATACTATCATATATATGAGCAGAAATCATTAAAATAATTTGAATTATTTTTGTAAATTCCAAATCAGTTACATCTAAAGAATACTGTAAATAATCTTAAATTTTATTTTTACACAAAATAAATGCTTTATATATATATATGAATACACACACAAACATAATATAAACTACCTTATTAATAATATATATATATCATAAATATTGCAAGTTAATTAAGGTAATATGAAAATCAGGTATACTTCTTAGTAAGAATTTAATTCTTAAGTAATATGCACAGTAAATACAAATTTTGTACAGAAAGCAAGAAAAATTCATATGATAAATCTGAGATCTAACTTTCTTTGTATTCAGTATATTTTTTGTTAGATCCCCATACTTTTGTTACAGGATATTTTTTTGCATTTAGACCAATTTTATCAAGCACTGCAGCAGGTAAGTCTATACGACATTTTTCACTTAATCGCAATAAATACAGAAGAACATCACTTAATTCTTGGGCTAAGTGCTCCTTTTCATTTTCAGTCCAATCTAGTAAATAAAAAATAAATATTTTTTAGTTAAATTATTTATACACTAAAATAGACACTTCTTAAATTAATATTTAAATGAATCATTAATTTTTATAAAGCTGTCATTCTGTGAGAAATAAAACACTTACTTCATGCATAAAAAGCATATTAACAAAAGTCATTCAATTTTTTTAAAATAAAATTATCATTGTTTCTCAATCCTACTGAAATTTAATTTTTAAATGCCTGATTTTCTTAGATTTTCTATGATCAAAAGGAACAATTTCTTTAACCAAACATAATAAACTAGTTATCAGGTTAAACACGAGTAAGTGAAAAATGTTTATGAATTTTCATTAGCGTGATGTGAATGAAAGAAGATATATGTTAGAAATATGCGTCTAAAATACTAAAAAAAGTATGAAATGTTTTTTTGGAAAGAAATATGAAACTCCGAAGAAAAAGTGTTCATTTTCTAAAAGAAACTGATATAAATATTATTCCTACAATATTTCAAAATAAAGCTAGGAACTAAGAATTACACTAGATAGAAAAAAGGTACTTAATTAATATAGTTATTTATTATAATGTTAACAATACTTCTTGATAACATTGTTTATTTCTGAAATTGATTTCACTTTTTAAGAAAGATATAGCAGAAAAGTTATACTTCTAAAGAGAAAAGTAAACAGCAACTCATTAACAGGTGGGAAAGATCTATGGAATGTTATAATTATATCAGATACTAAGTGGGTAAAATACTTACTGCAAGAGAAACTGAGACTACAATAATTCTTATTTTGACTTTTTTTAAAGATATTACCCCCCTCCTCAAATTAAGAAATGCTATTGATGACACTAGCCAAATAATATGTTTTATCTAGCCAATATTACAAAATACAAATAATTTTGTAGACATAATTATATCAAGACTAAGCATCAAACCATATACGTATGAAATTCAGTCTGCTTTTGAATATATTTTCCTGCAAAATATTCATGTCTTAAACATATAATGAAAGTTAATGAGAATATATTAGTATTCTTAAGAAGTAACAAACATACTAAAACTAGTTTTCTCCTTACGGTTAAGAGAAATCTGCATTTGTATTGTATGCCTGTGTACTGAATACTAGTAACAGAACACAAACTCCATGATAAATATAACAATAATACCTTTTGCTGCAGGGTTCCATTTGTTATCACTCATTAAAACAAAAGCTTTTTATTATTTGAAAAAACCGATTAGTACCGATGAGTACTTTTTGATTTTCCCTAATATAATTTTTCCTAACCTTTAAGTTTATAATTTCTCTGACTATGCAGAATTTTCTGGAAATTGACATCCTTGTTCATTTGAATAGCATATGAACTTACATTATGAAAAAAAATTAAGAATTCAAACTCTTACACAAGGAAGAAAAATGTAGAATTTGTTTACTTGAGCTCATACTTAGGTTCCGGCAATTTCCCATATACTTAATATTATTTTATAGTATAGCTATAGTGAACCTCTAAATGTATGACAAGTGCATATAACAAACTTTAAAGTCATCTTTCACTTACACTTTTTTGTATTTTGCATATTTTTCCCCAGAAATTTTGAAGTTTTAAATGAAAAATAACTGACTCTTAAAATCATCTGTGTTTACGATAATAGCGACTGTATTTCTTCAGTATGACAATAGTGAAAAACCTTTGCATTATTGTTCTTTTTATCTTTTTCTGTGTACTAAACAAAAGGTGAGGCAGGCATAATGCCAGATTCTTGAAAAGTACAGAGCAAATTAATCTTAGAAAACTGTAAAAGGTATTCGTGACCATTGAGCCAAACTGCTTAAATAGGTTCTCTGATTCCCTTCAAATTCTTTCATTGAACTTTCAGACAAAGCTCAGTTGATGGCTATGATGAAAATTTTGAAATTTTCACTATTCAGTGAAAGAGAAATAGTGAATATACTCTTGGGCTATACAGGCAACTTGCCTTTTAGGGAATGAAAACTCATTAACATTGTCTCTTTGGCTTGTTTTATTTCAGTATTTAAAAAATGCTATGGAAATTCTCTTTTCTAAATAAGAGGAGGTTACATTCTTTAGATCCTTTGCAATATTTAAGGCATTCTTTATATGAGTTATTGCATCTTTACATTTAAACCATACATATCTTGGGGAAAATAATGCATCCTTGCTGGACCCTGGTCAGGACAGATTAATGATGAAACTATCTTCACTTTTCATATTTTTCATAAAGGCAAAACTTCAAATATTCTTTTAGCTGACTCTCTTTATTCTGTATGGGGGAAATTTTTGGTGTCATAAATCCATCTGTACGCCAAGGAGTAAAGTTAAGCATTCTGTATTGAAGATAAGGTAAGTATTAAAAAAGTACAGAATGGACGTAGCCAAATAGATATCTGCCCAGCTTACCACATAGTTAAATAGAGACTACAATTTCTACTCAGAAAAATAAAAATTGGATAAAAGGAAAAACCTTAAAATGGCCAAGCATAAGGATGTTAAAGAAGTACTGCTGAAATGGTTAACCATTTAAGAAAGTCACAATCTACCATTATCTGAGCAAATGCTAATTATAAATATGTATTTTAATTTAAAATTAATTTTGAATAAATATGATTAACACATAAAAAGAATTTATTTGTCCTCAATTTTTATGATACTGAGTTCCAACTTACATGCACCTTATAACTGATTTGTTTACACTAATAGGAATAGATTCTTAAAATGGAATGCTGAAATTTCTTTTGGCCTTCAAAAATGAAAAATATAGTAAGGAAAAAAAAGTAAAGATCACAGAAATTTTCTCTAGATAAATTTGGAATTTCATGTTTAATCCAACTGCACATGCACATAATGCATTAGTGGAATTAACACAGGATTCAATTTAGGAAAACTTTACTGCTTATATATATCACTTATTCTCTCATTTAAGAGTGCAAAAATTACTTTGAATGTAATTTCGCAGGTAGCTATACAATGTGATTTGGTTTAGGTTTGGTTTATTGAGATTATGGTAAAGCACACTAGGGCTTTCTGTCTAAGGGAAGGGATGCTTTCATGGAAGAGTTTATAAGGTAAACTGGCTCGCAGACATGTTACTCATGGGGAAAACCACAAAAACAGCCATACAGCCAGACCGTTCACCAGGATTTGAACCTCAGACTGAACTACCAGTGTTCAGTTACTTTACCACTCGGTCACTGGTGGGCCTAGCTATACAATACGTTAAAATATTTTCATGTGTTTTGATAGAAGAATTCATTACTTTCTCAAAAAATGTCATTATCATTTACGTCCCTTTTTCTCTTTCACTGTATTCCCTTTTTGTATTGATATTATTCTTTCTGTGCCATGTAAAAAATTTAATAGCTTTATATTCAGTACATCTTGATTAAACAATGTTTAAGATATAATAGCTGCTTATGAGCAAACAATCTGTGTGTAATGTAAAATTAAAAAGGGAAGAATGTAGACAAAACATAGAAAAATATGACCATATAGAAATCTCTAATCCATGCAGCTTTGCATTCTAAACCATGAAGAATATCAGAAGAGTGCTATGCTATTTTGGTAAACTCTTGATTTTGCAAACTTCCAAGGATCATAAAAAAGTATAAAGAGTTTGTAAATGCAAATATAATATTTAAAAAAAAAAAAAAAAAAAAAAAAAAAAAAAAAAAAGTCAGACTTTTCAGGACCGATGTAACAGCATATAAAATGTGTAGTCCGGTAAAAAAATGTCTGTACATTTTTTTAACGGAAATCTTCTGTAAATTTAAAGTATTATTTACCTGGTAACCCTTCTTTCACTTCTCCACGCCACTGACTGTAATATTAAACAAGAATTTAAGCAAAACATTTTTTCAACAAATTACAGTTAAATCTTAGACATCAAAGTTTTAATAATATATGGTTACTTAATGCTTCATAAAATTAAGTAATATATAAAAATACATATAACAAAAGACAACACAGCTGCAACAACCAAATTTCTCCATTTACACATTTGTATAGCATGAAACAAAATATAGACATTTTAATAAAAAATTCTGAAAGTTAAATATAGTCAAAATTTAATCTTACATTCATGCTCATTTTTATTGAAATGTACATTCTCTAAAATGCCTCTCAAACTAAAAATAGCTTAAAAAAATATTCACTTTTCTTATTTCCCATAAATATTTATTCTTTACAATTACTTTTGCACAGGGATTCAATTATCTGAAAATTTTTGCAAGCTTACGGTTACAAAATTGGTAATTCAACATGAATTAACACACACACACACACACACACACACACATATATATATATATCAATGTATAGAAGCAATATATATAATTTATAAATATACAAGTAAAAAAGAAAGATAAAGAAATTGAAGGTATGTAGAGTTTAAAAGGAATGCCTGGTGCTTTTTTCTTCCAATAACAGACAACTATGAACTTGCAGATTACAGTTAATATGACTTTATGAGGAGGGTATGTACATGTTCTACATGTACCTTACCTTATAGGTTCTCATGCTGATATAGATAAATTACATTTAGGGCCATTAAGACAATTCTTCATTTTTGGATCAGCATTATCAGAGCAAACATAATGTATTAGTTACACTATAACAAAAGACTCCCTCATTATTCAAAGTTACAAATGTACTTTTCTCATAATCACTATGCAACTGAAGAAAAAAGGGACAACATACTATACACCTAAGGGAAGGAGGAGGAGGACAATAGAGGCAGGTGCGACAAAAGCAAAGACTACATTGCTGGAAATTTAAAAAAGAATGGCAAAGTTACTTTATTTATCAATACAAAGACTTATCGCTTTACTGTTATTGGCTGAATAAAAGTTTCAAATTAACTGTAATTAAATTAAAGACTTTACTTTCATTTTTCTGTTACATAAGTATATGAATAGCTTGTATTGAATAAGAATCACGAGAGAGATTAATTTTGAAATGACACACTTTAGAAAGATTTATTATAAGCTTACTACTATTTTTACAATAAAAAGTAGAAATTTATTTTCATACATCCAATGCATGAAATGCTTTGTTAATTTGCCTTAAGGCAAAAGGGTAGAAATAAAATACAGAGTATAATCATATAAATATAATATAATAAAAAGAAGAAATAGTCAAGTAAAAAGATTTTAGAAGCTATTATAATTTAAGTTAGTATTTTATCTTATATATTTTATCATTATAAAGGATAAACTGCCCTTAAATTACCATCCAATTTTGTTATTCTATTAATTAAGTTGTCATAAAGAAAATCATGGCAAATAACACTTCAAGAAAATGGTACTGTGATATTTTGCAAGCCATATTTTCATTAAGTACTCATACAATTATCAGTAACAAATGATTAATGACAGTTTACTTAGTTTGTATGGCAAAAGACAGATGAAATACATTTAATTACATACATATCAATGATATATGCCCAAGTTATTTGAAATAATTTAGACTGATATTATCTTGAGCAGTTGAAACCTCAGATAAAATCGAAAATAAAATAAAGTTTGATTAAAATTGTAGTTTTTAAATATACCACTAATTTATATGGTACGATGGTTTACTCATGCATACAATCACTAATTTATATGGTACACATTATTTTTGTGTTTTGATAAATTTAATTTTGTAACAAACTGTTTAATTACTATGCTTGTTTTCCTTATTACCTTAAAAAGTGTAAAGTGTGAAATGGTGTATTATTGCAGTGTGAGACATAATTGTAAAATGGTGTATCATTACAAATATCATCCAATACTATAGAGCCTCTTTGGAGAACAATGCTTAAATTTCAGCATATGCTGTTACATATTGTGAGATTTCTCAGACCTGTAACTCTCTAATGTCAGATTATAGTAAGAAAGAAGATTCATTATAAAAAGTGCATTTCAATCTACGCTACAATCATGCCCAGTTCCAAGCCACAGGTGATATACATAGTTAGTTGCGCCTTAGATGCCAATTTTCAAAAGGCACAAGCTAAATTGTTCACAGAGCTGACAACTACATAAACATGCTTGAAGTAATTAATACATTGAATTTATACAGGGTGCCAACTGTACTGATCACCATGGGCAATGAAAATGTTGGATCCAGAAATGATTAATTTATAAAAGATGATTTCACACTTGTGTACATTCTAATATTAAACTATTAAGTTACCGAGTCAGGAAATTTCCATCACATGTAGACAGCAAACCATTTTTCTTAATAATATAAATACTGAACTGAAAAGTTAGTAAATTTTATGTTAAGATGTGTTTGTTCATAATGAAGAAACATATTAACTAATGACAAACAGTTTTTAGTTAATATATCCCATAGCTAAAAAAAAATTAAAAAAAAGTATGCAGTATTTAAATTTCAACGCAAGCACCTTTTCACAGTTTGGTGGTCTTTTACAGGTGAAAAGGTAAAAATTACTTATTAGGTGCAAATTATTTATCAGACAATTTCCACAACTTTTTTAAAAAACATTTCCAAACTGTTGATAGTCATCATAAGTCGGCAAAGATTATCGGTTGGATCCTAGCAGAGCCCACACCCTTGGCGCACCCACTTATATGGCGCGCGTATTGATGTGTACCTGGACAAAGTCAAGGAAGTGTGCAATGCCAAATTTGTAAAATTTTGGGACTTTTTTTCAAGTGAATAGGTCGATGTGTACATGGATACCGAGTCTGTGCAATTTTTTTAATTGTTATTTTCAAGTTGGCGATTTTGAGAAACGCATAAAGCAGTGGGTGATTCTGCACTTTCCCAGTTTGTCACCAAGGGTGTGGGCTCTCCTAGGATTTTACCAGGTTATCAATATATCAAGAAATAAAAACATTCTAAAAAATAAATTTTAATTATCAAATGAAGATTATATCATACACTTAAAAAAAAGAAATAAATAAATAAAATTTGTTATTTTTTAGCACTGTTGTTCTCTCCATATACACAGCAATCTGTTTACTTTTAAAAAAAGCATCACAGAATTCCATACGCATTGTACACTGGCTATCTACCAAAATTATCTGATCATTGTTCCTTTTAGCGATTTTACAGTAAATTACATTTTTTCCATTGCTAGCAAATTACAAATTCCACAAATAATATTTTATGATTGAGTAGGCAAAATATATCACGATTTGTCTATAAAATCCATTGAAACTTGGAATACAACAAAAAGAAAATATATACGAAAATGGTGATGTTGCCTGATCGAACGACTGTTATGAGCATAGTTGCCTGAAGGATATTTATGTACATTGCTACCAGAGTTGGCACATTCTGGAAAAATTTGGTGACTTCTACTAAGATGGTTGCAATAATACATAAGTACAAAATACACTTTTGCTTCAAGATTAGAGGAAAAAATTAAAGAATTGAGTTTAACATAAAAGATGGCATATTTTAACATATATATTATTGAACATATGTTAACACATGAGATATGCTTTTAGTTAATATATCCTATAGCTAAAAAAAGAAATTATAAAAAATATGTTTTTGCTTCAAGATTGGGGGGGGGATTTAAAATACAGTTTATCATGAAACTCACAAAAGTTCAGCTAGTTCACCCACTTCTCCAACAAGTGCAAGTAGCAAGTTTCTTGGTACATGGTACTGATTCCAATTCCTTTCTTCAACAAAGTGCTCTTGAAGAATACGGCTGTAAAATATGATTTTCCTTTTTTTAAGTAACAATTGAAATGCACATAATTTCATCACATATAATAAGCAATTAAAAATTAATTTTTAAAGCAAAAATATTTCTGTTCCGAAATTTAAATAGGTTATTTTTAAGCATGGTCCATTTCTGAATATTGTTTGATAGTTTACATGTATGTGAAATAAGTTCCTGGTTTTCTTTGTAAAATATTTGATGGCACTTAATGGCATTAACTATACTTCGTAATATGAGACTAAAATTTTAAAAAAAAAATTATGCATCCAACTAACTGTAAAATACAGTCCACTAGTTCTTAACTGCAGAAAGCATGAAAGCTGTGGATATGCATCCTTAAATATGTGAAGTTCACCATTAATGTATGACAGTAAAGTGCAAAATAGAGATAGTTCAAGGAAAATTGGAATACTGATGAAGCGGTAAGAAAGGTATGCAAACATTCATGTAGTTTAATAAATGTTAAATTGGTAAGATACATAGAAAAGTATAAAATTGTTAATTCAGAAAATAAATGGGTACTCTCATTTTATCTGCCCAACCCTGCCGCAAAGTCGCTAACAGAGAACATACGAGTGTTTGCAAATGTACAAAGTAATATGGTTTGCTTAATATATAACTTGTCTGAGAACAACTACTTTTGGTTGATCTTTACATTATGGTAACTTGGCGTTTTTTTGGCGAAAATTTGGCGACCAACTCTCCTACAGCAACCCTCTATTTTTTTTTCCCGCCGCCATTTTGTCTTCACGAAGTAAAGACATGTTTCTTTTCTTTTTATCTACTAAACGCTTCTTCCAACAATCTACTATCCGAATTACACTTATGCTAGAAATTTTATCTAACAAAACTGCTGGTACTTTTCCGTTTTGCCGGCGCAAGCGATAAAGTCGCCAATAATAGTACAATCAATGCCAAACGGAATATTCTCGCTGGTAACCTTTTACGCCTCATTTTCAAAACAAGTCGCAGCTTTTTCTTATTAGATTGATTGTTTCTTTCAATACTGGCATATAATTACATAGAATTTTTATCCAGATAGTTCAGTTTTATGTCCGTAAGGCCATTTTCGCGATAATTAGGTCAAATTAGGATGCAATCACAGCCGCTTACCCGAAGCCGAAAATATAGAAAAGGTAAAGTCAAGGGTTAAATTCATCAAATCTAATGAGAATGCATTAGCGAAGTAAAGCACTGCAGTTTTACATAATTTCTGAGTAAGCTATTCGTACGCATTGAAATATTGCTTGCATTTAAACTTCTATTCCAAAATTAAGATTTAACTTGAAATTAATGTAGATAATTACTGAGAGCATTAAATTTTTGTAGAGTAGTTTACGTGAGATGAGATCGCTTGGGGTCACGTGATATGAACCGGCGAATCAGGATGTTGAACCATGAAAGCATAGTAAATTCTTAAATTAATGTCTTTTTACAAATTTGTTGTTTTTATTTATTGGATTTTTATAAAATTTTAAGCGATATTAAAATGTTTATGCCTTCAAAAAAGAATTCTTAGAGCTAAAATTTTTTATGTGTATACTGTATGTTGTCGCCAATAAAGTCTGCTTGGCGAGATTTGTGCCAGCGAAACGGAAAAGTACCAAACTGCTTAATCATTACAAATATTCACTGCAAAATTGGGAAAAAGTGCACAATACCATACTCCTTACACGTTTTTCAAAATAACACATACACATAAACCATGTACACGCCGACTTATTTTTACTTAAAAAAACATCCCAGAATTGCACAAAAATGGCATTGCGCACACTCTTCACTATATCCATGTACACTGCTTTTTTCTCATAAATTAGAAAAAATTTCACGAAAATACATGACAATTTTCTCAATCTTTAAAACCCGGTAAAAAGAACATATATGAAATTACCTGATCGCAAAAAAGTATTTACCCTTTACAAATATGAACATTTCCACATATAAAATAAATAAAATATCCAAAAATTTTACCTCTAAATCATCTATTACATTATACACGTCACCAACGAATTCATACCGCAAGCATTACAAATACTTAGTATCAAATATTTAAATTATTTCCATGCACGTTTATTTCAACTTAAATGTATACCAAATTCCTACAAACATAAAATTCACAAAATAACTATCATTTCATTAAAATATAATTAAATTCAAAACCACTAAAAATATAAATGAGCACATACATTAAATTAATAAAAATTACCTTACAATCCTAATTACTTTAAACTAAATCATTGCTAATAACAATTTTCCCAATAATACCAAATTCCTTTCCACCTTACATTTAGAACAATGCATAAAAATAATATCCTCAAATAATTAAAAATACTAACTTACCTAATCTTCTTCAGAATCTTGATTACGTGGCGGATACACTTTTCTAATTCATTTAATAAAATTATTGAAAGATTTTTCCATACTTCCTCCGCTAAATAAAAAGCAAACTTCTCTTTATCACAATGCCTAAATACCCATTTCGAATTAACTTTAGTTAGGGCCATGGGATCCAAAAATTAAACAACACTGTTTCACACAACACAGTATAAAGCTAAATACGAAATTTCGACATTTTTTCCTGATTTCCCCCCTTTTCCGATTAAAGAACCGTAATTCGTCCATTAATATCACATGACATATCCCATGATCTCTCATTTCCCTCACGCAAAATAATGCGTAATCGGAACTGAGTACTGCTCACATTATTACCAAAGTCCCAGGTAGTAACCTTTATCGCCTCCAAATGTCGCCAAACTACCAGTTACCATATTGTAAAGATCAACCCTACTTTTTAGAGTACATAACTTGTTCTTGAACATAATTTGTCTGAGAACATAAAATATGTGTTTGCAAACATACAATGTAATCTGGTTTGCTTAAAGGCATCACACGCCTTTTTTTTTTTTTTTTTTTTTTAATCTGCCTAGCCTTATTAGTATTTTAGGACTGAGGTTTTGCATGATGCCAAGTTGTCCACAATACTATGTTAATGTCTGGTTTGTTTTAGCATAAACAGATCACTGTATATTGGGAAAACTATGGTAGTGAAAAAAATCCACATTCTTGTGTGGAAATGAAGACCCTCCAAAAAAGAATTAGATACATTGTTCAAATAGATATAAGATACCCAAACAAACACTCCTCTACAAAGTCCCCAATAAATATGTGAATGCTCTTCATGCCTGCTTCAAATGTTAATATGTGGATTAAAAATATTCAGTGATCTCACTAAATTCAGAATTTAGGATACCAGTTAAATACTAAAAAACTCAGCTTTAAGTTATGCTACAAACTCAGCTAAGCTTTTGTAACAACATTCAATTTCAGCTCACATGCCAAATGGACCAACTATACAATAATTATTTTTCATTGACTGATTTGAAAGAAGATTTTTAAAGTTTTGAATTTAAAAATTGTTATGCTATTAAAAGTCAATTTACTCTGAAAATATGATGAACAGGAAATAAATAAAAAAAAAAAAAAAAGATGAGTTCAGATAGAAATACTCTTACATGTCTTCAAATGTAATTTTGTCACTAAATCTGAAGTAATCCTTGGACATTTCAGGTTTTAGCTCACAATGGATGACATTATTACTCTCACTTGTTTCTGTATTCAACTTATCACCTTCGGCCTTCACTGCATCCATTTTAAAAAACAGGAAAATATTTATTTTCTTTCTTAAGTTTCAGTTTGTTTTGATTTTTGGCGCCAAATAACAACAGTTGCAGTTAAAGCTCTCAAGCAGAAAGAATTATTGCTTTACGAAATGGCAACGATTGTGATTGCTTTTGCCTTGACATATTTAACTTTATTTATTAACTTTTATGGCTAGAAACTAGACATAAAAATATCTAGCATTCAAGGCTAAAATGTATAAACTATTTGCGATGTTCAAAATAAATGTTCCAATTAACATTCGATATAGCAAAAGGTGCAAATTTGCTTGTTTTTTAACCTTCGCAATCAGAGATAGATAGCGCTACAAAACCATTGGCAACAAGAAATTAACCTGATAACAAAATTCTTTATATTATTCTTAGAACGTATATTAATCTTATTCTACTAATGAAACACATTTTAAGCGTCCCCTCATATACATTAAATTTTAATTCGTTATTTTCCATTCTGATTAGTCATCGGTATTATTCTTTTCTGCACATTATTCTATGTAAATAAATTCATTTATATAATAAATGCTTTTTTCTATTTTCGTTTCTCTATTTTTTTGCTGGTCTATCCTGTATTGCTCTGTGGACCAAATTCTTACTAAGTTATCCAAGAAAGCGCCTTTTCCTTGGCTGGCACACATTCTGTATTTCGCCTTTATTCAGTCAACTAACCTAAGCAGCCTTATCCACAGAACCATGGATATGTAACAGATAACCATACATCAGGGCCGATCCTAGCTGGGGCCAAGATGGTGCACAGCAAGTGGGCAGCCGAATTTAAGGGTAGCGAAATGATTATCAAGCATATTATATTTCTGTAAAACAGAGTGGTCAATTTTACTTTGTACGTGGGTGGCCAACGGTCTAGGATCGGCATTACCATATTTCATTAAAAAATATAATAATCCTGAATTAAATATCTAATTTGTATTTGGGGGATACTATATCCATTTTTTAGGTTTCATGTGTAGTGACTGCTGATATTTGTAGTGACTGCTGTGCGAAGCAAATGCATATTACCATTCAAAGCATTTGCTTCCAAGCAAATAATCTATTTAAATTATCCTTTATGAGAAGGCTTTTACACTTGAATAGTTGCTAATTCTTCTGACAATATAAATTTAAAAACTAATGCGTAGTGACTATTTCTTCAAAAGCAGAATGGTAGTCATATATCGTTGTAAATTAGCAAATGATTTGAAGAATGAGATGTGTGCAATACAAATCGCATAATATTTGGAGCATCTCAAAGCAGTTTCCTTGGAATCCACAGGAAAAATAAATATTTTCAACATAAGAGAAACTTTGATTCTTTATTTTTTTTTTGTAATGAATTTTTAAGATATACCTTCAAAATTTAAGCACGTTTTGGAAGATGTGCCAGTTGTATGAACGTATTATTCACGTAAGCTGTAAAAATGCAGCGTAAACCATGCCACACATAAGCGCGGAGTGGAAAGCTGAAACTGCGAGCGCCGAGTTAAATAGATATCACTAAATTAAACTATTTACATATGCATAGATTTTTTTTTTTTTTTTTGAAAAATAAAGTTCACGGGAACAAGAAAAAAAATAAGTCTTGTTTTTGGAAATAAAAATTGAAATGAGTCTCAGGAAAGCAATCTGTCACTACGAGGAGAACTGCCTTTTAAAGTTATGGGCTCTAATGTCGAATTGGGTGCGTCTTCGAATGGCGACAAATTTTGTTCAGTTTTGGTGATGAAACCCCATTTCTGGTTACTATGATAGTTTTAATTTGGGTTTAGCTTCCTAATTTTTTTTGAATGAAAATAAATCGATGTGCCCATGGACAAAGTCAAGGCAGTGCACAATGTTAAGTTTGTGCAATTCTCTGATTTGTTTTAAGTGAAAATATATCGATATGTACATGGACACCAAGTTTGTGCAATTCTTTGACTTCTTATTTTGGTTTTGTGTAGCAGCCATCTTGAAATTGTGCCTTGCTGACGGCAAATCTTGGTGTCAAAAAAAGAATCGTCAAAAATACAAGGGGTACCCAAGTGTAAACTTTTACCAAATTATGATAAATCATTCCTATTCTCTTGACAATATAGTTAATTATAAAATTATAATTAATAATTACAGCAATATCAAGATATATATAATTGGACATATTATTAAAAAAGAAATGCATTAAAATATAATAATGAATGTTTAGTATGCATAATGTACCAACATTCATGATTAATGGATGCGAATACATTAAAATATAATCATTAATGTCTGGCATTTCAATTTTCCGGTGAATAACAGAATTTCTAAGAAACCAAGAATACTAACCATAGTGCGTAGGACTTTGGTGAGTAGAATCTCTGATTTTTCTTTTACAAGATTTGAAAGCTACAGCCTAAGCAAGAATTGTATAAGTCAGAATTAGAGTTTGCTTGACAGAAAGATGATGCTTAAATTTTCTTTCAATAAAACTGTAAATAGCTAGTTCGCTGTAAATAGCCATAATGGTTGCATTGTCTTTATGAATAGTCTTTAAATGTAAGATTTTCATCAAATATAACTTTTAAACATTTATATGACTGAATACCTGGAAGAACTACACTATGAATGATCTTGGATGAATTAATCGATATTTATCATATCATTTAAAAATAAAATAAAAGCACAGAACAAGCTGCATAAACAAAATCCCTAAATGACGTCAACAAATGGGGGGATTAAGTTGTGACGTCACAATGTATTATCGATCTTCACTATGTGTATTTACTATTTTCTACTGAAAGTAACAATAATCCATGTTTATTAGAATTATAAATGATTATTATTGTAAATTCATATTAAATTCTTTATTTTTAATTTACATTTCTATAAATTAAACTTTGGTTTCACAAAGGAGTTTCTTGCTACACAAAATTTCTTATATTCTATTAAGTAGACAAGATTCATTATAATATAAAATTATTTAACAAATGAGTGTATTAATGAAAAAAGAAAAATAATTTTTTTCAGCAAATTAACATCATAGATAACTTTTATTTCACTACTTCTTAGATTCCTAAATAATATTATATTGTCTTTGTGCATATCAGTATTTCATACATCAATAACTGGCAAATATCCAATTCCTCACAATAAGACATGAAAATAAAAACCACAAATTTATAATAATAAGCATGGCTTCAAGTTGAAAATATAAAATCAAATTCAAAAACACTGTGTAATTATTTTAACACATAAGTGTTTGCCACTAGTATTGCATAAGTAACTTTTCATCATTATCTTAATAATGAAAAAGTTACTTATCGAATGCAAGCTTGCCATTTTCGCTACTCGACATTTGACTTAAAGACCGTCAAGTTATCAAAATTTACTGTATGTCTAAAATATTATCAACATATAACAAAGAAACCATGAGAAATCAAATTTAAAAACCAAAAGTTAATACAATAATATAAATTAAAAATAAAAAAAATTATCCATTGTTCATAATATACACTCACACACACAAATTTTACACACAAAATTTTACACACACACACACACACACACAAAAAAAAAAAAAAAAAAAAAAAAAAACCGACGCATCGAGAAGATATAAAGGAAATTGGACATAAATTGATATGCATACAGGTTTCGATAGCAAATGCAAAATTTTACACTTTGGCTGCCAATTAATGAACGGTTGTCGCTACAGCGCATCTGATCTGCGCAACTGGCAGGATATTTAAGAGGAGAAATTACGATTCCAGATCATAAATTCTTCACGAATTTCATTCCGTGTACTCTGGTAGACAGTAACTATGCCTGATTGGAGGGACCGCTCGACCGTTCGAACAGTTGCATGTTTGTGAGCTCTCACATTTCTTCAAAATAAAGGCGGAAGGGTCGATACTTGAACATCGAATCGTGTATCAGGAGTTGTAGAAAGTTATCAAATTTACGGAGGTGTTAATTTTATGATGATAATGTATATCGTTCATAAATAATTAATAATTGATTGAATTTACCACGTGTTACAAGCAATTGACATCTGTACGAAGCCTGACTGCAGTTTTGCATTTATTTTCAAGTTCTTCTTCAGTGAATTTCTTTCCGAAATTCATACTCAAAGGTGCTGTGATTAACGGAGATCTTGTTGATAAAGGTCTTGTTGCTTTACGGCTCTTAGGATTTTAATTATTCAACTTAATTTAAACTTAATCTAAGGAGATCCCTGCAGAAAGTATACGGTCCCTATAAAGAACGTATTCACCCCCTCGCCTCTTCTGTAGAAGTAGGGGAGGAGAGCTGCCTTAAAGAAGTAGGGGGTCTGTTTGAGACTTGTTAAAAAGCCCCCTCTCCAGGCTATCGGCCTCGAGAGGATCCCAAGTTACAGTTGAAAGGATAATGGCGTTTCCTTAATAAGTGATAACTACCCTAGCTTTGCTATGATACTCCTACATATTATAGTACTCCCGCTGTTTGGATTATACACAATCAAGAGAAGACTGCAAAAGGTATACTGCATTTATTTACCTTGAAGTATTCACTAGTTCAGCCCACTACTTGAATTAATTTATTCTAAATTCAGACTCTAGGAAAGAACTTTCTATTGCTCTGAACTTATCTTCAGGGTTATGTGATAAATATTTCTGTAATAGTAGCTACTATAAAAATTCTGCTGACTTATGAACTTGTTAACTAATACGAACTTATTGAACTTATTAAGTGTGCATTAGCATATATTTTATTTTGTTTATTATAATTACCAGTAATATAATTATGACCTTCATTATTGTTAATATATACTAAAATTAATGAATGCTTAATATCAGTTGGTACTGAATTTTATCGTGAATAACTGTGTTTTAATTTGCTTAAAATTTTTTTTAACTGCAATTTTATTGTGTACCTGCAACTTTTTTTGCTAAGTAATTTGCTAAGTATAACTGATTCAGAAGTCAAACAAAGAAGTAAGTATAAGTTACTATTTTTCATTTCAATTTTGTAATGTTATAGTGCGCTTCTGGCGGTTTTTTTTCCTTCTCTGTTAGTATTCACCTCCCTGCTATTAGCGCTAGTTCTCGCAAGCACGCAAGTGTTGTCACCTAAAACCATATCCTCAGTGGTATAAACTGCGCTTTCACTTACTTTGTGTTCCCACATATTACTATAATTTCAGTGCTTTTTACTGCGCTTATAATTACTCTATGTGCATTAC